TCAGTGGTCACCAAGGCCCTCAGGGGACACTGGTGATACTCAGTGGTCACCAAGGCCCTCAGGGGACACTGGTGATACTCAGTGGTCACCAAGGCTCTCAGGGGACACTGGAGACACTCAGTGGTCACCAAGGCTCTCAGGGGACACTGGAGACACTCAGTGGTCACCAAGCTCTCAGGGGACACTGGTGATACTCAGTGGTCACCAAGGCCCTCAGGGGACACTGGTGATACTCCGTGGTCACCAAGGCCCTCAGGGGACACTGGTGATACTCAGTGGTCACCAAGGCCCTCAGGGAGGGCAGTGGGGCCCTCACCTCAGCTCAGGGTTGCTTAAGAACTGGAGGAGACTCTTCAAAAGTAGGTTGGGAAGCCATCTTTGGTCCAAGAGCCCAGGTTAGGACAGGGCGTGGAGGGTGGACTCTCCCACACCAGGGGAGATCAAGGCTGCTGGCGGGAGGCTGGGGGGGGCGGGGGGGGAGTGTGGATCTGCAGGTCAGGAAGAGGAGTCCACGAGGGTCTTGGCCTCTGAGCACGGGGGTGACTGGGGCCTGTCAATCGTAGGCCTGGACCCCTCCTGGGTAGACTGAGGGCTTGGATCTGCCCCTGGAGGGCATCTTGGGAAGCCGTTTCTCAGGAGCATGGCTAAGAAGGCTGGCCTTGGGCAGCCGGCTGGCTCCTGCTCCTCGGGCCCACCCTCAGTGGGGCTGTTCACAAATCCCGTCTTGCTTCCTCCTGGGCCGGCCAGGCTGAGCAATGGGCCCAAAGCCTAGTGCCTGGGAGACAAGTGGTGTCCAGAAGACAGAGGCATGGAGAAGGGTCGGGTTCTGGGCCCTCGGACCAGGGTGTCGATTCCATCTCTACTGTGTGACACCAGGCAAGTCACCCACCCTCTCTGAGCGTCAGTCGGCTCATCAGAGCTTCTGTGGGAAGCTCTTGTTCACGGGAGATCACAGCAGGAAGCCAGCAGTCTGGACCTGGAGGGGCCTCGCTGAACTCAGCCAGTGCCAGCCTGCTCCCCACTGTCCACCCTCCAGACTGGGAACTAAACTTGGTTGTTACATCGCTGGTCTGTCCTGTGACCGCCTGCACAGACTCAGGGAGCCCTGGACCAAGACGGGGTCTTCTCCGACATAATGAAGGGTCTGACGAGGAGGTCGCCCTGGGTTAGGCTGGGCCACACCAGGTGACAGGCTCCCTAGAAGAGCAGAGAAGCAGGGAGGAGGCCACGGCTGCAGCCACGTGTCTACAGAGCAGGTCAACACCTGGGGGGCCACGGGAAGGCAGGGTAGAGCAGGGCACAGGCTCCCCCGGCCACACCTCCACGGTGGACTCTGGCCTCCAGGACTGTGAGGTACAGAGCCGGGTTACGTGACAGCCGGCACAGCCACACTCTCCGCAGGCCTCTCTCCCCACCACAGAGGGGGTCTGCAGGACGACCTCCCAGGCCTCCAGGGGACACAGTGCATAGGTGCGGCCAAGCGTGTGGCCCATGCGGAGAGCAGCCAGGGGCACGGTGGAGGGGTGGCAGGTTGATGTCGGGACCCCACCTGCAGCCCTGGCCTCACGTGCTCCCAGCCCCGGTCCCTGGTGACTGTCCACCCAGGGCATCTGCTGAAGCAGGAGCTGCTCTTGGCCTTGGGGCTTCGGCCAGGTGACGGAGAGGGCAGCTGGCTCTGCCCAGGTCCTGGGAACCTTGATGTCAAGCCCAAGACCAGGTCCCAAGTGGCCGCAGGGCTGCCCCTCCAAAGGAAATGGCAGTTAATGAGGCGAGAACAAGGAGTTTGGACAAAGCCATCTTGTTGCCAAAAGGCAAGCACCAATTAACATTCCCATTAGCCTAATCCAATTAGGCCTGATGCTATCATCACTAATCACAGTGTCGGGACAAATAAATAAACTTAGCTAAT